ACAAAGCTTTCGATTATGTGTCCAGGACACACGATAGCCATAAATTCCTAATGTACCAGATTTCGAAGTTATTTTGCTGACGGTAAAATAACGAAATTAAAAACAGTTCTGAAACCGGCGTTGCGGAATAATTGGAAATTCAAACAAAACGATGAAATTTTTGTTGTGTCGTTCTACATGGGGAAACACGCGAGGATGGGGATGAATTGTTTAATTTTTTTATTTATTTTTTATTTTGTTAACAAATTAGTTCTTGCGTCTAACGGTTAGTGTTGTTTTACACTTTCTAAAACAGACAAACTCGGCTAGAAAACTAATGGTGATTAAAGCTGGATTTATTTTGTGCTTTTGTTGTGTACTATTTAAAAAACGAAGTATATTCATAAGTTAGTTAAAGAAAAAGATCTTTCTACATAAATACATTTGCGTTGTGGGGAGAACTACCCGCACAAGCACTTAAATAATTATACGAAATTTCACAAATGTTTCAGCTTAATTTTTAATTTAATTAAAGATATTTTTAATAGATTTAGGTTGTAACTATATGTTTGGATCTTTTGTTAGTCTCGCTACTGATGATAAAAACCCATAGTTTATGCGATGCAACTGGGTGAAGAAAATTGGATTGCTCCGGAGAGTTCTCGTCGGACAATTTCAAACTAAAATGTTGCAACAGTTCGGTTTAATGACTCCATTAAACTATCTCTAAAAACAAGAAGTCCTGTTTCTAAGCTATCTAAAGAAAATATATTTCTCTTTTGATCACATTTAAGTACAATCAATAATCTCTGCCGTTCGACTAGGGTTTTTAAAGGAGTCATATTAATTCTATAAGCATAAATTGAACCAATTTAAACTCTTACAAAATGAAATCTTGAAGCACTTGTGCTAATTAACTTTTTAAATATTTAGCAAATACTTTACTGGAAATTTTTCAATCATCCACAAGTAAGAATATTTTGAACAGGTATATTGCACCAAGAAAAAAGTCATTCATGAAGAGATTAAACAACAGTGGGTCCCAGTGAGATTCCTGAGGAACTTCTGACGTTACTATAATTGTATCGAAAACTAGCTCCCAATCTTTACAATTTGAAACTATTTTTCTTATAAAATTTTCTATCCAACTAACATCTAAATACATAACTTTCAGTTTATAGATTTAAGATTTTTACGGAAAGTCTTGGAACAATCTTCATAGACGGAGACAATTTCGGTACCTCTGAAAATGAGTACTAAGAGACAAGGAATTTAGGGAATTTATGAATAAATAAGTTATCTACCAATAGAATTAAACAAGGAATAACATAACAAATTAAAAATTAGTCTAAAGTTGTTTTATCATTTGCCAAAACCAGTCTTATCCTAGCTAGTAGCTGCTAAGATAAAACTGATTTTAGCAGGTATTAGCCCCACCCGTTCACTATTTTCTTGGAGGGTATGTTATCTACCAAAATCGATGTTAGATTAGCAGGTATTAGCTGCTAGGATAAGACTGATTTGGCTAACGAGATTTCTCTAAGAAAATAGAGGGTGGTGGGCAGGTTTAGTACCTGCTAATCTAACGTCGATTTTGGTAGATAACATACCCTCTAAGAAAATAGTGGACGGGTGGGGCTAATACCTGCTAAAATCAGTTTTATCTTAGCAGCTACTATCCCCGCCCACCCCCTCCCCCTCTTTTCTTAGGGGATATGTCATTTGCCAAAATCGACTTATTTTAGTAGGTACTAAACCTGCCCACCCGCCCCGTATTTTCTTAGAGGAATCTCATTTGCCAAAATCAGTCTTATCTTGGCAGGTACTAGAGCCGCCCACCCACCCTCTCTTTTCTTAGAGGGTATTTCATTTGCCAAAATCAGTTTTATCTTAGCAGCTACTAGCTAGGATAAGACTGATTTTGGCAAATGAGGAACACCGTAAGAAAAGATAGGGTGGGTGGGCGGGGCTAGTACCTGATAGGATAAGACTGGTTTGGCAAATTAGATCTCTCTAAGAAAGTAGAGGGTGGGTGAGCAGGTTTAGTACCTGCCAATCTAACATCGATTTTGGTAGATGACATACCCTCTAAGAAAATAGTGGACGGGTGGGGCTAATACCTGGTAAAATCTGTTTTATCTTAGCAACTATTATCCCCGCCCACCCACTCCCTCTTTTCTTATGGGATATGTCATTTGCCAAAATCGACTTATTTTAGTAGGTACTAAACCCGCCCACCCGCCCCGCATTTTCTTAGAGGATTCTCATTTGCCAAAATCAGTATTATCTTGGCAGGAACTAAGCCCGCCCACCCACCATCTCTTTTCTTAGAGGGTATTTCATTTGCCAAAATCAGTTTTATCTTAGGAGTTACTGGCTAGGATAAGACTGATTTTGGGAAATGAAGAACACCGTAAGAAAAGATAGGATGGGTGGGCGGGGCTAGTACCTGCTAGGATAAGACTGGTTTGGCAAATTAGATTTCTCTAAGAAAATAGAGGGTGGGTGAGCAGGTTTAGTACCTGCTAATCTAACACCGATTTTGGTAGATGACAAACCCTTTAAGAAAGTAGTGGACGGGTGGGGCTAATACCTGCTAAAATCAGTTTTATCTTAGTAGCTACTAGCCCCGCCCACTCGTATTAGCGGCTACTAACTAGGATGAGACTGATTTTGGCAAATGAGAAATCCTCTAAGAAAACAGAGGGTGGGTGGGCGGGGCTAATACCTGCTAGGATAAGACTGATTTGGCAAATGAGATGTCTCAAAGAAAATAGAGGATAGGTGGGCGGATTTAGTACCTGCTAATCTAACATCGATTTTGGTAGATGACATACCCTCTAAGAAAAATAGTGGACGGGTGGGGGTCTTGTTTTTGAAGTAATCTGAAAGAATCTCGTGGAGCCTTTGTGTTTTGCTTAGGGAGCATGTAGTTTGAAAGATTCTAAAGGAACAATTTCAAGGATCCCTATCTTGTTTTTCATGTTATTTGAAGTAGGTATCTCGGGATCCCTTTGTGTCTGGTTTTTGAAGTAGTTTAAAAGAGTCGCGGGTACCTCTTGCATTTTATTTTTGAAGTAGTTTGAAAGAATCTCGTGGATCCCTTGTCTTGTTTTTGCAATAATTTGAAAGAATCTCGAAAACCCCTTGTACTCTTTGTTGAAGTAGTGTGAAAGGATTTCAAGGATACCTTTCTTGTTTTTAAAGTTCTTTGAAGAATCTCGAGGGCTCCTTGTGTTTTGTTTTTGAGACATGTAGCTTGAAAGAGTCCTGGGGACCTCTTGTGGGTCTTGTTTTTAAAGTAATTTTAATACCTGCTAAAATCAGTTTTATCTTAGCAGCTACTAGCTCCTCCCACCCACCTTCACTTTTCTTAGAGGGTATTTCATTTGCCAAAATTAGTTTTATCTTAGCAGCTACTAGCTAGAATAAGAGTGATTTTGGCAAATCTAATAATAATAATCTTTATTTTGCCAAAAAGAAAATAATTTATATAAAAAAATATCTAAGGTAATACTGAAATAAATGTGTTCTCTGAATTTTTGAAATTGAACTAAAGACATTTTTTAATAGATTAAAACTCAACCCGGATTCATAAACCACAACTGTAATGCAATATTTTATAAAATTTAAATAACGTTTAATGCACAAAATTTCGATAAGCCGTCATCACATTTTTGATAGGGATGATTATAGACATTTTGGTAAACGGTTTACCATCTACACAATGTTCCTAAAATCAATATAACATTTAACAAGGATCGGTCCAATAGTTTCGGAGATTATCTGTCTAATAAAAAACGACACAGACAGATGAGTGACGACAGACAGATAGACAGACGACAGGGAAGCGGAAAGGGGGCACTATTTTTTCGTACTCTAGGGGTGATGAAACGTCAAGAAAACATGAAGGAAGCTATTCGTTGGATGGGTCTTGTTACAATACTGTTAGAAACACCTACAAAAATAATCACTTTTTCACTAAGTTTTGAAGAAAATATATTATTATAGTTCATACAATTTGAGTAAATAGTCAAGTATGTTTTTACATTGATAGAATTTCCAAAATAATTTTGGAACAGAATCTATATCTCCTTACGTTTGACTTATATGTATAATAATCATTATAATATTCACAAGTGTTAACTTTGCACAAACTAAATAAAAAGAGTGCGTCGACCCAGGGACGCACGGATGGCAATTTATATAAATTAAACACGTATACGCGGTAAATTGATTAATTTTCTCTTAAAAAATAATAAAAACCAAAAATATGTTGCTTTTGTATTTTTTGACAAAATGATGATTAGTGATGATGATTGGCTTAATTCGGTGATTATCACCCGCTACTGAGTCCTGACGATCCAGCCCGTCATGATCACATTTGTGAAGGCACAATAATAGCTGGGTAAGCGAAGTAAAGATCAGACGCTCTATAGCCTAGTGGTCAAGGCACTTGCCCGGCAAACGGGATATGTGCAGTTCGATTCCATACCGGAGCAGCAAACATTGTTTTTCTTCGCTTACCTACACATTCACACCAATTTATCTATTTTCCCTTTCTTTCTATAGTGCGGCGTTACATGCCTAGCATAATTATAGACCGCTGCATGATACGAAGCTACAATATATAGAGAAAAAAGTAAAGGTATTGCAAATAGACAAAATAAGTACCCCTTACTAGGTTACTAAGAAGTAAATTATTTTTCAACTAAAGGCTATTATTAAACAAAATATCTTAAGAAGAAATATATTTAATTTACAGGAAGCTGGCAAACGAGTGAGATTTATTTCAACCCATGATAATCAAACCAGTTTACTAGTTACTAATTGTTTATTTGCATTTGCACTTCCATATGTTTGATAATTTTACGTTACTTATATCCTCAGTAAGTTTATGTATGCATTGCATTTAAATATGTAATTACAGAATGACATTCATTATCGTATTAATATATTTAACGTCCTGTAATGGTGACCATTACGTACTGCATCAGCTCACGTTTTTGTTTTTCTTGCAGAGACATCGTAGTGCCTAAATCGACAGTAACCGAGGAGTCTAAAACCGAGGACGAAGACGACGACGTTTTCTACGACACCGAGGACGATCCCGACGACGCAGACGAGGATTTGAACGACTCTGTAGTGTGAGCTGACTCGCGAATCCGCTTTATTTTCGTCGAAGACTTGTTGTCATTTTGATAAATTCCAGGTGTAAGCCGTGTCCAGTTGTGAAACCGACGTTCTTGTGCGGCTCAGATAATCGGACGTACAGCTCGTTGTGTAGATTAGACTACCACAACTGCATCCACCACACATCGATCAGAGTCACCTGCAAAGGATTCTGTCCTTGCAAAGGTGGGGACGGAAATAATTCCGCTTTTACGGAAAATTGAAAGAGTTGTTTGTCTTTTCTAGAAAATGAAGCGCATCTGCGGAAAAAGCAGCGCCAATCGGAGCGATTGAATTCATTCATGAATAAGTATAAAGCTACTTTGGATAAAAGTGGAACCGTTGGTGGATCCATTAATGGTGCAAAGCCAGCGCAGCCGTCTTCTAAATCCGATGTATATACATTTACCCCACAAGATTTCAAATACGAAAATAAACATTACAAATACATTAAATATACAAAGTACAACAAGGTAAGTAGTTGGCACGTGGGTTTAGTTTAGAACCGAAACTCGGCTCGGTTTTGCTCAAAAATTCACCGGGCCGCTCTATTTTAATAAGACAAGGAACATTTGTTGCACCAACTTTATGTGTACCTACAGGTTTATAAATGAACTTCTGGTTTCCAGGACAATAACAATCTTTTATATGCGGAAGACAAAGGCCGACTCCGTGGGTATAATGAAGTTACTGACAACAAACTTTACAGTAACTCAATTGGGGCACTTGACCCTGCCATCTCTCCTTCCAAACAATGTTCTCCAGCTGCTCTCCAAGCGATGGGCGACCGTTTGGTCGATTGGTTTTCTGTCGTTATGGCGGACTCATCAAAAAAGCAACGGCCAAGAAACAAGTCGAAGGGTAAGATCGAAACTGTAAAGAAACGTTAAATTAAAAGATCTTCTCCCCGAAACGATTTAAAGCATCTTACTTATATTTCGTGGTTTGGTGGGAATATTTTAATAACAATTTCCGTGTTTGCGTCGGGATCGTACATTTTTATTGATGTTCTAGACAAAATATTACTTTCTTTCATTGTGCTGTCATATTTCGCTATTCTGACATTAATATCGACCTGAATTTCTTTTAACAATTCTGTGGTCCATCTAAGTTCTGCGATACGTTCAAAGAGACGAATGAGTTCCTCTTCGGTTATTGATAACGCAATTAATTTCTGTTTACAGCATCTCGAAAACCTAACAACTACTATTAAATTTTCAGTCGTACCCCAAGTAGCATTTGTGGTTGTTTGTACTTTGCCACTGTCGTTGCGGTAGAATTCGCATAGTTTCATTACATTTAAATAAAAATATTGCGCCCTTATTTCCCTTCCCACGGTCTTGAACCATTTCCAATAAAAAATATCTACGTTTTTCACGTTGTGAGGTGGTGCCCCATCTTGTTGAAAATACAAGTTTTCTAAATATTCTTCTTCTATTTAACGCAGAATACGTAAATATTGCTCGACATTCAGCTTGATATAAAAAAGTATGCTCCAATTATGGTATTATTTACCTTGCCAACCCATAGATTAAATTTTCAAGCTCTTGAGTTCCCCTTGGTTTGAATAAATACAAATTTTGAGTAGGCCAGTAGTGACTATTGTGTCTGTTGAAAATGCCTTGAATGGTGAATTAAGCTTTGTCGCTCTAAATATTGTTTTCAAAAAATTATTGTATTTCTTGATTTCGTATTAGCAAATTCCTGTCGTCTGGCAAAATCACTTGCTTCAAGATGTTGATGTTTTCCATATTTAAACCGATGAAGACCATTTGCAAATCTTCTCTTTTTCACTTTAAAGTGACTTCTATTTTTTAAATTATTATCAATAATTTATTTCAAATACCTCCGATGCAATTTTTTCTTGTTCGGGTATAATCCGTTGAATCTTTGACAAGTGCGGGACATTATTGTTTTGAGGCATTACAACAACGATAAAGGTCCAAAAATACGAACAGTCTTGTAGTCAGTAGGTCATGGAAGCGTGCCGCCTATCACTTTGTGTGTATTTTACTAAATGCCGAAGGTTGGACGACAAATACCACAAGCATCTGTATAACTAGTTGCCTAAATGCTTCGTATCTTATGTTATTAAAAAATAAAACTTACAAAAAAATAAACGAATTTATTGTAGTTATACGTCACAATAAATGTTGAAAATGTTCACCATTTTGTTCTCAAAGTACGTGTTCACTCTTTTTTTCTTAGTTTTAAAAATTTGGACTTCTTATTCAATTTCATATTGCAGTAGGAACTCCTGACTGCTGAGACCTTCTTGTCAAAGATGTTTTTCGGATTCTGCTCGAGTCGTTGTCTCAAATCATCAACAACTACCTTAGTTACTGAAGGTCTTCTAGGAGACTTCCCTTGTTGACACTGTCAGTTCGAACAAATCTGCTCAAAGAACTATTGGTTTATTTTTAAAATTAGAATTGTTACGGGGGTTATATCAAATAAAAAAGACACCCTTTACAGTTATTGCTTATGGTTCAAAAACAGAGGTAATAAATTCAACGATCAAATTGGATTGGAGCCCTTTTCTGATGTCGATTGGTTGCTTACAAGATCGTTCGGAGGAGTCAGTAGACTATCTTGATCAACGACAGTTTCGAGGAATTCGTGCGGTGTTACTGGATTGCCGGGAAATACTTAAATGATATTACCTTCATCGATCACCAGCTTAGGGTATTGCATTGTCTTTGCTCAATCCTGTGCTCCATGTGTGTGGACAAGGTGTTGTAGTCATCATCCTCTGAGTCGTAGTGCCCGTCTTTCTACATGATGTGCCTGCAGTCCCCAATTAGAGTGTGACATCCCTTTACGTCCAACATTTTGTATTGCTCGTGGGTGTCGCGAAGGTCGGATGTGTCCTCATGAAAGCGTACGTCTTGAAGTATTGAATCTCGGTCTTATTAATACCCTCGTTGGTTAGAGATGGACCGTGTCTTGTTGTTTTCAGTGGCCATCAATTTTTTTCAGATCCAGGTCTCGGCATCGCATCAGTGTTTCCAGAATACTTTTGCTAGGATATATGTTGTCCGTTACGTAGACCGTAGCTGCAATGTCACAACTATTGAAGAGTTGACTCTTCTGAGTTTGGAAACAGGCTTTGGCTATCACCATGTCCTCGATAATGTCAATATTTTTAACCGTGTCGTGTTCCGCTTAGGTGGGACCCAAGTGCTTATTGTCGATCCTCATAACTGGGATGAGAACGATGACTTCGTTTTCTTCTTCTTCGTCCAATGCACTGCAGCATACCCACATTTTTCCGTGTTTAATTCGCGACCCAGTTGGTGTGAGTAGTCTTCAAGTGCGATTGTGATTGCTCAATCCGCCCTTTTGTTCATGATTTGATATCCCGACAAAATAGCACCAGACGAAATAGCTTCGACAAAATATCTTCACGACAAAATAGTCCCCCCAAAATAGCCCAATGATAAAAAAAGATCTACAAGTGAGCAAAGATACCATACATAAAAAATATGTACCTACATACTCTATTCTTTACTGAACACTGCAGTTTATTCCCACATCGTATACTACTGCATATTTGGTATTTACTACATATAACTGCATATTGTGTCCATAATTTCCATAATTTGCAATTTTTTATTGCTGAAAGATTTTTCGCCTAGCACTTGATTAGGTCAGGTAGTAATCTCAAGAAGACCTGACTGACTGGCCTGACCAGACCAAACCAGACCTGATCAGATGTGACCTGACCTGATCAGACCTGACCTGACCTTGTCTGACCTGACCTGACTTGACCTGACCTGACCTGACCTGACCTGACCTGACCTGACCTGACCTGACCTGACCTGACCTGACCTGACCTGACCTGACCTATTTTTCCGGGGCTAAGGGAAAATCTTCAAAAGGCTCCCCGCGGGGAAGTGTGGGATTTTTACCTCACTAAAACCCCTCCCCTTTTCTCCTGGATCACCCGGAAACGGTTCCACATATCATCGGGGGATCCACGTTCACATTCACTGTTTCCTTTCATCTTCCTCCTTTTTCCCCATTATCTTTCCCATATATATTTTGATTGTCCCCCAGGCTTCGGCTTTCGACAGCATATGTTCGACCAGGTTCTCTGCATTGACCTCCCCTCCGAAGAGTAATTGTAACTCTTGTTTTTCTTTGTACCATCTTGCGCAGCTAAAGAGTGTGTGTTCGGTGTCGTCTATATTTGGACAATACATACACGTAGGAGATGTTCTTTTACCTATTTTAGCTACGTATTGCATAAAACACCCATGGCCAGTTAAACACTGGGTCATATGAAAATCTATCTCCCCAAAGTTCCTATCTCTCCATGGAGCTATCTTTTTATTAGTTTCCTTGTCCATTTTGCCTTATTTGTTACTTTCCACTCCTGTTGCCATTTGTCTACGGTGTGTCTCCTTGTGTCTTTGCTATTATGCACTGGCTCGTTCCTTCTGTCGTAATTGGTTTTTCTTTCTTCCGCCAGTAGATACAGTTAACGCTTCGTAGGAAACTGTAGTACACGCGCTGCATATACGCAGTGTCATCATTCTTTGTAGGGGTTTGACCAAGTTTATGTATTTTTCTATTTTCATCAGGTCTGACCAAATGGGCGCCCCGTACAGTATAATGGATTGTACCGTCGAATACAGTACCTTCCTTTTATTCGCCTTAGGTACTTTAATGTTTGGTAATAATGTCCCTAGCGCTCTCGCAGTTTTACTGGCCTTTTCCATCACGTGCTCTATGTCTTCCGAAGCTTCATCCTCGGACCAGATCCACACCGAGGTATTTCACTACGGAACCCGGCACAACCTTGTTATGGTCTAGCTCAAAAACCAGCTCTGTGATATTCCTCGGCCTATTCAAAATTATAGTTTTCGTCTTTTTCTATGCCATGCTCAATCTTTGTTTTGTCAGCCATAACTTTACCTTTACCAGGGTGACTTCTTCTTTCATCTGCAATTCTTCTTTACTCTCCGCCGTGATCACTGTCGCCAAATCATCAGCATAGCAAATTATCGTTACCCCCTCCGGTAAGTCTACCTTCATAAGGTCGTCATATAAGATGTTCCACAGAGTCGGCCCCAGTACCGAACCCTGTGGAACACCTCCTCCCACTTCAATGATCTTGTTTCTGCCGATCTGAACCTTTCTTTTTGTGAAATAGTTTTTTATTATGTTTCTCAAATACGTTGAGATGCCCCATTGTTTTATTTTTTCGATTATGTTATCCCACGAGGCCATATTAAAAGAGTTTTGGACGTCTATAAAAATCGCCCCGCACCACTTTGGACTTCCTTCTCCGTTAATTCCTTTGGCAATCTTCACTACGTCCTCTATGGCGTTCAGTGTCCAGCGTTTCTCTCTGAAACCATATTGTTTTTCATGGAGCCCTCCCTTACTGCGTACCTCTTCCATCAGCCGTCTATTAATTAGGTTTTCATACACTTTTCCCAACACGTTTATTAAACAAATGGGTTTTTCGATCAATATCAGTTTACTTGTTTTCCATGTATCCGGACATGAGTTTTCCGAGAGACCTGACCTGACCTGACCTGACCTAACCTCTCTATTGTCTAAAATAGACAAGTTTTAAACATTTTTGTGAATAAATAAAGACCAAACAGTACATCCTTATAACATTTGTATTTTGCAAAACAAAAATTAATAATAATTTCTTTTTTTATCTTCAGAAATTTCATACCAAGCTATTTTGACGGGACTGTTTTGTCGGGGACCATTTGGTTGATGAGCTATTTTGTAGTGGGGCTATTTTGTCTAAAGCGCTATTGTCAGGGCTTTTTTGACGCACCTAGCTATTTTGTCAGGGCTAATTTGACGGATGGCAACTTTGTCTGGCAAAAGTTAGTCCATGGTGCCCTTCACTCCAGCCCTGGACATTTTTTCTGCCGGAATCACATGGGCTACAGCATTCCTTACCACAGATTGATCACTTTTGTAGTGATTTTGTACTCCGGTACTGCCGGTTTTATGATGTTTCCTGGACGTCTTCTCGTATTATCTGATATCGCCCATCTATAGTTTCTTCGACGTGGGAGAAAGGTATTTCCCTGCAATTTGAAGATTTTGTAGACGGCGATTGGTATTTCAATTAGTCCAGGAGATTTCCATGGCGCTGTTTAGCGTAATGCTTCTTCCACGAGTTCTTTGAAATTCGGTATCTCTAAATCCGTTTGTTGTCTTTCTCTTGATTGCATTTAGCCATACATTATTTATAAATTTCGAGCAAAAATGTCAACCTGGGTGGGATCCAAACCCACGTTTCTCACTTTTGGCTGGTATCCTGACCACTAGACCATCAGGTCTCGTGATTATTTTTTCACACTTTCTACGTTATATTGTGCCGCCAACAATTCGTCTATTTTAAACAATAAATATTTGAGAATCATTTTCCGAACACCCGTTAACCAAAGCTTGCAACAAGGGTATAATGAAACCCAAACTACAGAACGTGTTCCGGTTGTCTAAGAATAAATCCATTGTGAACCATTTTCATCACAATGGTGGCGCTGAATATTTTACGAGTTTTCGTTACAAAGGCGAATAACTTGGTGACAAAGCCGCACTTCTTATCAAGACAGTTAGGATTTTTTTTAATCACTCCTAAAATTTTGTGGTCTGTTTTCGTTTCAGTGGAATACCATGTATTAAACATTCCTAAATATTTTTCTGTGTACGATTCATTCTGAACGTGTAGTAGTTAGTCTATTAAGTTTCATTGTAAAAAGTATGTCTCCAACTCCAGATTTTGACACAAATTTGAAAAATTGAAATCACTGAAGTAGATATACAATATGAGATTTAACAATGTTTAAACATAACATATTTTTTTCTGTAGAAGCTTGTTTAAATCTTAACTTATCATGCAGTTATGTCATCACTTGGTAGTAGTTTGCTACACTCTGCTAACAAAACGCAAAATTAGTAGTATATTACACAACGAGCACGAAAAGTAATACATTTCGTAGGAGTTGAGATTTCCCACGGGTGTATGAGTAGAATTTTATTTTGCCAAATAGACACGCTTTCTTTAACGATTTGTCAATTCTAAATATATGTAAATAGACACCTTTTTCTTGCAAATAACGTTATTTGTTTATATATTTATGGTAAATATTGAGTGCGCACTAATTAGTCAGTTTTTAGCTTAACGCCTTACTTACTATCCAAGTGCGAGAACAAGCGTTCTATCGCGGTGGAAGAAAGTAGAGCATGAAATGATACTTATTTTTCATTAATATAAAACTTTGGGGAGTGAGAAATGAGCACGTTAAACGCGTTCTGCATTACATTTTTCCCACGATCGAGATTTTGCTGCAGCCATATTTTTCACACAACACAATTTATTTATTTTTTACCTCTACAACAGCAATATATTTAGAACAATAATAAACATCTCCTGTGTCCCAGCAAGTAAATAAACGAAGAGCTCAGCACATCACCTTCTAAAACATTAAAAAGGAACGCATAAGAAGTGCCAGTATTTCATATCGATCGCTGACACAAGCGAATAACTCTCGAATTTCTCATCCTACAATTTCCACTCAAATTTTAAAATAAATCACTGTAGTTGTCTTTTTCTACCATTTCAGCACATTTCCCATCTACTTGCAAAAGTGAGGTGAGATGGATGTTCCAGCATCTCGATTCGAATTCGGACTCCAAGCTATCTTTACAAGAACTGTACGATTTAGAACACGATCAGAGTGAAGTGTGTATGAAACCTTTCTTAGAACAATGTGACATGGACCGTGATCTTAAAGTCACACCGCAGGAGTGGTGTCGATGTTTCCAGAAAACGGAAAGACCCTGCGCCGCCGCCAAGCGTAGAGTATCGCCCGATTTAATAGGTAGTTTCAGCAGCACATCCAAGGGGTCCATGTAATTTTTTGCGTGTATTCAGGTGCTTATGTTCCCAGCTGCGACAGCCAGGGTTACTACAAGCCGATGCAGTGCCACGGCGCCAGTAGCATTTGCTGGTGCGTCGACAAGCATGGCGTCGAATTCGCCAACACGCGTATCCACTCGAGACCTAATTGCGGTAAGTAGTTACTTATGGGTTGGCAGCTGATGCCACAACAGATTTGTCAAGATGGAAGTGGTGACACTTTCGATACTTTGATTGCTACTTAGTTGGAATATCCTAATATCCACTTATAGACATCAACGTATCGTGTGCTAATTTTGTGCAAATTGTTCTATTAAAGAGGGATTTGCGCAGGTAATGTTAAAGTCTACTTATGTTTTATGTTTTTGGAATGCTTAGAGATTATGTCCATACTTGACAAAAAAATTACAATCTTACAACATACTTAATTTGTAATCGAATCATTTTTGGAAAGGACTGAGCATGTTGATACTTGAACCACACTGATAAATACGGTCAAAATCAGCTCGATTCATGAAATTTTCTTATTATGAACTTCCGTTGGCTCCCACATTTCCGTTACGTATTATGTTATGCCCTTTATACTTATATATATTTATTTTTCTTCGTCTCAAAATCTCGTTATCCCACCACATTCCATTAAGTCTTTTTATAGCTCGTGGTCCTTTCCATAATCGTTGTTTTATGTCTAAAGAATATATTCCTTTACTATTCATTTCCACCCCGAAATTGTCACTTGCCTTGATTTTGTCGTTGTCTGTAATCTCCCCAATTCATCCACTTTGTTTTGTACACACATGTTCTATACAGATTTCGAAAAGTATGGAATAGACACAACATCCTTATTTTCTTTATAAATTGACTAAAAGTTGATAACTATAGTGCCATCATAGTTCTCACTTTTGTGTTAAACCCTATCTTCCATTACTAACCCCGAGTCCCCTTTATTTTCGGTTCTTTAAACTCTTGACGGATTTCTCATTTAAACAACGTACTGTGATAACCCAAACATTTTGCCAAAACTGAAACATGTGCACAAAATTTTAAAACCCGCGAAAAATTCAACATTTGACCATGAACTGTGACTATCAACAGAATGGTACGTTGTGTTTTTTTTTAAAGCACCATTAAACCAAATTGCCAAATTATGCAAGGAAATTTTGAAAACTAGCTGTAAAATTCTCTCCAGTTTTCAAAAATGAACTCAAATGTTACAAATCGATACAATTTTAAAACCAACTACCCACGTGGGGGCGTATAGCGACAGCGGCGCGAAGGGCGTCTCCTCGTAAATTGTATATTTACCATAATCACAACCACAACACGCGTTATGAATTTTGAATACTTGCATTTCTGAGTTGAAACTTTGGTATTGCAGATAAACATTCACACCAAAAAGGTAAGGAGATAAAAGCTTTCACTTTGAATGTGACTTTGCGTCCGCCACACAATCCCGAGCGTTTATTTCGTTTAGAGTTAAAATCTCCTGAATTTTGACGATAGCAAAATGCGTATTATAATTATTATGAGAAAGGAAACAAGTAAAATTTAATTATACTACACTTTATCAAGAATTTAAAACCACGAGAATTTACATGAGGGTAAATTATGGAACAATTCAAGTTAATGGGTAAATAAAAATTAAGTTCATCAAGATTACACCTTGGACTAAATAAATTCACATAATACGCGAAACAAAGCACGTGTGAAATAAACACAACAGGGCACATTAAATACGATCAAAATCAAAATAATAATTCAAGAATAAATGTTCAAATTCAAGCTGTGAGACTATAATTGGATATAAGAAAATAACACATTAATACTTATAATACAAAATAAACATTTCTAGTTCGTATTGATACTAATTTAACTAATGACAATTTTCAAGGTCCTTTGTCTCGAATGGATTAATATTTAAGGTTACGTGAGATGCCATAAATGAACTATTATAAATTTCGAAAGAAATGTTACTAAATATGGATAATGCAATTACTAATTACTTAAGTAAAAATAATCCAAAACCTTAGATATTATCGTAATTAAAAATTGTGAAGCCTGAAGTATGAAGTGAATTTTCTGCCACGTGTTCTATTTGGATATAATTCTAGATTATTACCTTTAAACTGAATTAGAACCATGGACCGTTAAAAAGCTTAGTATGAACTGGGGGAATTTACAGATAATACATTTGTTAATAGAATATTCAGTTTTACACATTTCAGGTTATAAATCGTTAATTAATTGGTCTTACACTTATTACAGTAAAACACATTAAATACGATCAAAATCAAAATAATAATTCAAGAATAAATGTTCAAATTCAAGCTGTGAGACTATAATTGGATACAACAAAATAACACATTAATACTTATAATACAAAATAAACATTTCTAATCCATGTTGATATTAATTTAACTGATGATAATTTTCAAGGTCCTTTCTTTCGAAATGGATCAATATTTAAGGTTACTTGAGATGCCAAAAATGAACTATTATAAATTTCGAAAGAGATGTTACTAAATATGGATAATGCAATTACTAATAACTTAAGTAAAAAAAATCCAGAACCTTAGATATTATCGTAATTAAAAATTGTGGAGCCTGAAGTATGAAGTGCATTTCTTGCCACTTGTTTTTTGGACATCTAGATTATTGCATTGAAACTTTTTTAGAACCATGAACAGTTAAAAATCTTAATATGAACTGGGGGAATTTACAAATAATACATGTGTTGATAGAATACTCAGTTTTACACATTTCAGGTTATAAGATTCTTAATTAACTGGTCTTACACTTATTACGATCAAAATCAAAACAATAATTCAAGAATAAATGTTCAAATTCAAGCTGCGAGACAACAATTGGATATAAGAAAATAACACATTATTACTTATAATACAAAATAAATATTTCTAGTCCATGTTGATATTAATTTCACTGATGATAATTTTCAAGGTCCTTTCTCTTGAAATGGATCAATATTTAAGGTTACTTGAGATGCCAGAAATGAACTATCATAAATTTCGATAGATTCTCCTTTTATAATATTACAACTGGAATTTTATTTAATTCAGTTTTTATCCTATGAAAATTTCAAGCAACTTTCGACTATTTTTGAAAATAACCAAAGACATTTTCTAATAGACCAACAAAAGGTAGTTTCAGTCTCTCTTTCAATAGCTCCCACCATTTTTCTAGAATCGCCCATTGGAATATTGCAATTTTTGGACAAAAGAAAAATGTACATTTTCAAACCGAATATTTACAAAATCATGCCTCGGAATCATACATGAACACGCTATATTTTGGGAAGTAGCACATCTAAATCGATAACTCTGAATTTTTTGAGAACTTTTTTAAAAGGCAAAATTTTATCATTTCATAAACAAATTTTCGACCATTTTCGAAACCTAACTAAAGACTTTTTCTTAGAGTTTTCGGTTTACAGAAGTTAGTTTCGGTCTCATTTCACTGATAAACTTCTACCACTTTTTCACAATCGCCCGTTGTAATATTGATTTTCAAATCGAATATTTCTAAAATTTTGTACATACATATCGCTTTATGAAAATTTTCGAAAATTGTCGACCATTTTCTTATAGATTTCGACCTACGAAAGTTAGTTTCAGCCTGGTTTCTTCGATAATTCCAACCATTTTTAGAGAATCATCCATTAAAATATTAAAATTTTTTGGATTTTTAAAAATCTGATGTTCAATTTGTTGAGAATTTTAATTTTCTAAATTTTAAAATTAGGAGACAATTTGACTTGTACGAATGGATGTTTTGCAGATTATTTCCTGAAAAGAAATGAAAAAATTAACGTAATTTACGCAAAGATTATGAAAAATCATATTAAAAAAAAATTATTTTCAAACCGAATATTTCTAAAATCTTGGCCGGGGACCATAAACACGCTACATTTTGGAAACAGCACGTCGAAATCGATATCCTTGAGTTTTGAAAGCAAAATTTTATACACCCCACTACGAACATTTCTCCAAATTGTCGACCATTTTGGAAACTTAACTAAAGACATTCTCATAGATTTCGACCTGTATGTACTAGAAGTTAGTTTCGGCGTCATTTCTCCGATAACTCGTGCCATTTTTCCAGAATCGCCCATTGGAATATTGCAATTTTTGGATTTTTAAAAAAATTGGTTTTGACATCTATCGCAAAATAAGAATTAACTTTTTTAAGTACTACCTGCATTACCAACATTCCTAAACTACCAACCTAACACGAAAACCTACCCTAATTACCTAAACGGCAAGCATGGGTGTTAAGTTTGATGGATTATGAATAAGAGCAGCGGACAGTCGTTTTATAGTTTTATTAAATAAATAACAAGTGTGTTCTAGAGCGAGTATGATATTATGACCGTTAGGTCCAAAGATTGAATATAAAGACTATGTTAACCGCTTGAAGAGTGCTTGAAGAGTGAATGATGAATAGTGAATGAATGTTCCCTGTATTCGAAGGTGGTGGTGGCCCTGGCTCCCACCCTTACGGGTGGAGAGGGGTGAAACAGGTCCCCGCCAGAGGCACTAACATACCCCCCGCCTTGAAACAATTACATTGTTTTAATACCAAAATAATAGAATATTAGAATGATAACATGATATCGTGATGATCAATTCGAATGAGAATACATGAATAAGATTTACTACAATTAACATTGTATAGAATGGATTCACAGTGATTATACCATATGGGCAATAAACTAAGAATAGCGATTTACAACACTTGCCCACATACAATAAGAATGTACATGGAATACACCTGAAAGAGAGATTTACAACTCTTTATCAGGTACAATACGAGTGGACAAACTTTATTTACAATAGTGTGTATGTAATGAGTTAACAGATAACCAGAGCCTGAATTAGTAAATGGAAATACCGTTTCCGAATTGGCGCACTTTATGATGCAATTTCGACACTGCACAGACACTACGCGAACCTGATCGTCTTTGCCGCGATGCACTTGCACTATTCGTTGTAATCGCCACCGCAACGGGAGCCGGTTGTCTTCTTTGATCGGTAGTACCAGCGCTCCAGTGCCGGGAACGTTTCTTGAGAGGGTTTGCCACCTGGATCTCCCCTGCAGCGTCGTATGATATTCCGCGGACCAGCGCTTCCAAAAATGTTGGCGACAGGATTCACTCAATTGCCAACGGGAAAGGATGTTGACAGGAATAGTAGTGTATTCCTTTTCTACTGGAGTTGTCAATGGATGGCCAACAAGACAATGGCCCGGAGTCAGTGCGGCTGAATTAGTAACGTCGCTGGAAAGCGGCGTCACAGGGTGCGAATTCAGGACAGCTTCAATCCTGACCAAAAGCGCATACATCATCTCGTACGTTAGATGGTTGTATCCGATTCAAATCTTCCAACCTGCATCTTAACTCGCCTATTTTTTGGTGGTTTGTAACTTCCGAGATGAACTCCGCATGTGAATGTATATCATTAACAAGAACGATAAATTTCCAGAGAGATTTGTTATTCGACATCGTCAGTACGAGAATAATGAACTACGCAAAATGGACAAAACTAAAGCCTACCTGAGTTTCTTGATGAATGACCCTCGATGATTTGCACTGCACTCGCGGCCGTTACCGATTTTTGAATACTTGATGATTTAGGTGGAATGTTGAATTCCAAGCCACGATGATTTATCGAACTACACTTATCACTTATCACTGTTACTGATTTACTGTCGCTGATCCGGCTCGAAGGACCATGTTAAGTTTGATGGATTATGAATAAGAGCAGCGGACAGTCGTTTTATAGTTTTATTAAATAAATAACAAGTGTGTTCTAGAGCGAGTATGATATTATGACCGTTAGGTCCAAAGATTGAATATAAAGACTATGTTAACCGCTTGAAGAGTGCTTGAAGAGTGAATGATGAATAGTGAATGAATGTTCCCTGTATTCGAAGGTGGTGGTGGCCCTGGCTCCCACCCTTACGGGTGGAGAGGGGTGAAACAGGTCCCCGCCAGAGGCACTAACAATGGGTAATTTACTACGTTGTAGAACACTTTTTCTTATGTTTAATTTTTCAAATGCGCTTTCGCGCTATTTTTTATCTTGGCGCGAAATTTAAAATTCAAATTCAGGAGACCACAGAACTGACTTTCTGAAACCTTAACAAACCTCTCATTAACGGTCTTTTACTACATCACGACCAAACGACTTCTCAAATCAGACAGCAATTTTTACTTGCTCATGCAAATTTGTCGCAAATGTCACCTTCACTTGAACTTGAATATTTTCATGTGGTCTCTTGACAACAGATTTCAGTCGACTCGAATAGGAGAATTAAATAAACCTCATTAAGCTAAGTTTTCCAACTTCTATAAGCTGAAATAACGGAATTAACTGGTGAACGGATCTGAAATTTCATTATCTTAGGTGGAAAAATATAATTTTCCATATTCACAGTACAGTCACACAGATTTGAAGTGTCTCCATCAAATACAAAAAAAAAACAGACAATGTTGTTTGGCTAAAACGCTATTTCCAATTACGAACACTGGAAACCTCCTCTTCTGTAGCAAAGTTCTCTCCCGGATCAATGTGTTTCATCTAAAAGTATGTCCAAACAACTTGCTATCTAGTCCCGAGACAATACTTCTAAATGATTTAAACTTGCTAACACACTTTTTCCATCAATGAATTTTTATTTCGAAAAGTTCGTTGGATTCAACGTTGAAAGCTTAAACAAAGCTCGTTAAGTGTAATAAAGCGTGGTTCCATTTAAAAAATCTTTGAAGACGTCATGTCGTTATCAAAGCAGCAACTTAGCCAAATCTTAAAATGTCTCAAAAACGGATCAAGATATACTAGACGGTAAGTTATGAAGCTAAAGGCAGACATTTTGTGACATAGTAAGGCGACGACTGTCAACTCATAATATCATCCAGAGCCACCTCAACTTAGAAATCTTATACGGACAGACAGACATACAGACGGAAACAGGATGTATATATAAAAAAAATAAATTAGTGCAATATTTCCGACTTAGAGAATAAAACGTTGTCAAAATGAAGCACAAGTACATCCTTCAAGAAATATTTTTGATTTCTTCTAATTACAAAAAATACAGTTTGGGTATTTATGCAAAACAAATTCTCAAAAAAATGGCAGTTGTTTGTTTATATTTATAGTAGCAAAAGACTTCGGTGCTGATAATAATATTATAATAATGAATGTAGACAGTGCGGTTGACTGAAGTGTTTCCGAAATCAGTCTGTGTGCGTGCTTGTACTTATATTTAGTCGATTCTAATACCGATTTTGATTGCAGAGGCACTAATAAATAAATTAAGTGATGCATCGAAGCAGCTGAACGCTGCTGAAGATGCGAGCGATGACGAGGACGGAGACGATGTCGACCAGGACATTGAAGGTAGTGCAGACCATCAGGGGGACTACTAAAGCGTAAACTAGCGCCATCTCACTATTATTGCCTCTTACTTTGACTTTTTTTATGTGGCTTTTGTATTTTTTATAATATTAAACAAAGAACTTCCTATTAAGAGTCGGTGTATAATATAACGAATGATTTTGATTTTTATATAGTATACCTTGTCGCGGGTAAAGTGTAGTAGGCAATATTGTATTGTTGCATAACTAAGACTAATATTTTCTTATACATTCCACAGTTGCCATGCTTTTGTTAAGATCTAACACCTTTAGTTTAAACAAGAATGACAGTACTTTTAATTTAAGTTTAGTTAGTTAAGTTTCTTAAAGTTTATTGTTGTAAATATCACGTGATTTTTTTAGTACTCCCTACCAGTTTTGTTACTTAATATAATATTCAAGTTCGCATGTGTATGTACGTTATATTTTATCTACTGATGTGTTTCTGCTATTATCTTTAGGTAGAAATAGTGATCTGATAATCCACAGCTTCATGTTTGTGCCGTCTAAAACAACATACATAATATGCATTTATGTATTAGATAATACCTATTGTAATAATTGTTAAATTTAGAAATTATTTATGTGATTTTGATGTCCACTTTAATTAATCTAGATTAATATATTTACGAAATATTATTTTTACTAGAATTAGAGAAATTATATTAGACTAATTCCTTTGTATGTAAGCGAATGGTACTATGTACATAATGAAGGTACTATTTATGAACTGACAACCCGTTTTCTCTTAATTTCGCAGAATTCCTAACATGCCAATATTGTTTAAAACTCTGGCGTTTTATTTATTTCAACTAAAACTGAAACTCTAGAGAGCAAAAACATGTGTTGAATCGACGATGAACTGTGCACGTTTGTACATCAGACATGTTTTTGTTGTATGTTTTCATCATATTTAATAAAACTAGAGCTCATTTTCGCTTATCATTCCTCAAAAATTACGACCCTATCAGTGGGATGCCGCTACATGGCTTGATTTTACCGAAATCAACTATTATTACATACCTGAAAATGAGCGCAACCATAAAAATAAAAATGAGAGATTAATAAAACACATCTATTAAATTCTTTCATCAGCCTCCAACTCATAAATCGAACGACGTACTAAAACTGAAAACTCGCAAACTCTAAAAGCAGGCAACTTAATGGCCACCAGAAACACTTTGTATCAACCAAGAACTAAGAAAAACCCCTAAATCGTTTATTTATGACTATGTATAGGCTAATTTTTATCATCTTCCTTTTTTTCCGGCCACGACTCCTTCGGATACTTCTTACCCTTATTTTTACCCAAGCAAATTTTTTTGTCATTTATATAAATTTCGATGTTTTCTTTAGCAGAGATCGTGAATTTCTGGCAACTATCTTTCGACTTTTTCACGCTGCTTGTCCCCGGTTTGTCAGGCATCAGGTTCTTATTTTTGTAAATTTCACAAATTTCTTTGTTGCAAGACTTCGCGCCCGCTCCTGAAACCCGAACACCTTTATCTTTTGTCTTTTTTATATTGATTTTTATATCCCCTCCAAAGCATTTCTTGTTTGATCCGCTGGGTGTCGATTTACAAACTGTACAATTGTTACCCATGCACACGGTCTTCTCTGAGCATACGCTTTTTGGTTTTTCTGGTTCCGCTTCTACTATTTTCACTTCTTGTTTTTTTACTGGTTCGTGAACTCTTGGTAGCGAGATTTCGCTGACCAAGTGCGGGGCCCAAAGTTCCTCCTGCGATTCCGGCCCTAAGGGGTATGACGCAAGTTCTGCAGGCGGCTTACCACGACGCGATGGCGAACTTTGAGCTTGACTTTGGGCCACTTGTTCCATGGGAAGCTCTGATATGGTACTTCTGCTATCGCTGGGTGAGTTATTGTGGGGGTTTCGTCGCTTCCTAGACTGCATTGGACGGGCTCTTTCCTCGGGTGTGACCCGAGTGGCAAACATTGGGTCCTCCACGGGAGTACCAGGCGTGTCACCCTTTTTGGTTTTGTTAGAATGGTTGTAGAAAGTGGTAAAGTTTTGTGGTTCTAGTGGCAGTTTGTTGCTCCACACTAAATCTCCATTTACTAAAGCAACGTAGTACTCCAGTTTAATCTGATTTGTGCTCTCTTGTGCTTTCGAAAGTCTAAATTCCTTCGGTTCTTCTAATTGAGGCACTTGCGGTACTTTCTGTAACGAAATTATCTAGTAAATGGATTACAAAACATTAAAAACACATACAGCAACATTTTGACACTTCGTCAAGCTCTGGGATCGACGCATACAAACCGTCAACGCATTCGAGGTGTAATATAATTCTTCGGAAACGCGTTTCCAAAAATTGGGCATTGATTTAGGGCTAATCAGTTTCGTTCTCTTTAGTTCAAAGTTTGACAGTTCTGACTTTTTATCGCCGACGCGGACATCTACAAAGAAAGGTGAATTGTTGTATATAATAGTGCGCATTGTTACCTAGCACACTACTTATGGACGAAAATGAGTAGTCTCCACGCTCTAACGGCTTCACAGTGGAAGATGCTTTCGTAAGTAGATTACAAGTATGTTCAATATTTGATTGAGGACAAACAAATTTAGTTAAATGTGATAGTTCCTCGTAATGTACGGAAACCTTCGAAGACGGTTTACTGTAGTGTCGTTTCGAAATTCTTGTTTGTCCGAATGTGAAATCTACGTTGCTCAGACCCAGTTCTTTGTTATCTTGAGCAAATATGAAATTCCAGTCATCGTGACTAATACTACTCCAAATGTTTTTGCTCTTGTAGATGCTCCGCTTCTGATGGCACGTCTTTATAACACAGTTCTGTTCGCTGTAGTCACTCGAGTTGTTCTTTTGCCTGAATCTAACTCTTCTTTGACTAGCGTAGTCGCGTTTACGAAGTCTTAACCTTTCCAACCTAGTAGAATTACTTGTGGGTTTCTTCAAGAGAAAATATTTCTTCCCGGATAGATATCCCGAGCTACTTTTAGTGCTCTTGTTCGTTTTATGTTTACTTCCATCGACGTTAACGGGTTCTGTTTGCGTCGGAATTGATTCATTTTTCTTCAGAACAAAAAATCTGTCTTGGCTTTGTTTAGTCTTACTAAGTTTAACGTCGTAAAGCGGGATTACCCACGGAAAATCGAAATTAGGTTTAAAATCGTCTTTGCCTAAACTAACGTAAAAAGCTAATTTATCTTTATGGGCTTGAGTAAGGTCCATCGAGTTCTTAATTTTCTTTACGCTCATATCGATCGACTGTTTGATCACCTCAACATCGTTACCCATCAGCGGCAACGACTTTAAGCTAACGCAGTATGGTAGTGCGGTTCTTTGCCTTTCGTCAAGGATAGCTTTGCGGCAACATTTGGCAGGTCTACAAGCCCTCAAAATCTTGTCGACCCCTAGTTTCTTAAGTTCCACTACAATGTGAGAATTGCCGTGTTGAATTTCGCGATCTCGGAGTCTTGTGTGAACTGTCGTCACGTCGAACTCCATGGACGAACAAAGCCGTCTTCTAGTAAGCGCTAACGAACTCTGCTGTCTAATAATTTTGCTTGGTAATTTTTGCATAGAAGGTTCTACAATTTCTAAAATGATTAATGAATTTAAAATTTATCACCAGGTTTACCTCTGTCGTCATCGTGAACTCTCACGGTCGATTTATCCACGTTGTCCGAATCTATGAGTACGTCCATCTTTGACTCACTCCTGTCGCTCCCAACTCGCTGTTTGCTTTCAATTGTATCGCCACTTCTGACACTATGTCTGCTTGCCATTTTGCGCTCACTGATAAGTCGAGACAAGTCGGTATCAGTGCAAGAGCACGGAGAAGAAAATTCTTCGCATCTAACTTTGGAGATATCCGTGCAAACTCTCCCTTTCTGAAGACATTTACATTTTTCGCTCTCTTTAAGCGATTCGTTCTCGTCAGAAGAATAAGCCATGTTGCTCTCATCTCCTTGCTTTCCGTGCAAAGTAATGGATTCGTGAGATTCTCCAGTCTCTGTAGTTTCTCTAATTCTCGTAGAAGACCCAATAACAGTGGACCTGCATTCTGGACACTGCTTGATGATAATTCTGATTTCGTCCGACGCATCTCCTCCTGTATTGATGCAGTACACAGTGCCATCTTCAACATTGTTCTGGAGTAACAAGGTGTTTTAAAATACTCAACTGTACTAATTTTTACCTGATTCATTTTAAGCGTCACGGGTTCACCATCTAGTTTGATATGATAATGTGAAGGACAATCTTTAGCACACTTTATAACTTTTCCATCAGCACTGTCGTATTCTGCGTCCGAATAATCACTAAAGCATCTGATGTTAATGAAGACCGAAGGTTCATTAATATCACTTTTGGATTTTTTCTTAGAACCATCGTCATAATCACTTACAATTTCATTCTCGCTCTTTTTTTTATGCAGATCACCAGAAGAATCTAGAATTGTGTTATTAGTAAAGTGATGTGGTGACAGTACAAAACCAACTGTTCACTAAAGCAGAAAGCGTTGATTTGATTTCAGGAGGGTTTACATCCCTGTCGGTTTCTTCCGGCATGTCTTCTTGCATATCTGTCTCCGTAAACGATGCTGATCTTGAGTGACTCTTGCCTTCTTGCATTTCTGTGAATGATGTTGACGATGGCGATGGTGTCGACACTTGTTTACTAGACATCCTCTTCATGTTCTCTCTGAATTCGTCATAATCCTCTTCAGGTTCCTGAACAGCCGATCTTGAATGTTCCATGCTTGTTCGCGACGATTTAACTCTTTCTGAACTCTTAACTGCCACTGAGTCGTTAACTCTAACACCGTCAGTAAGGAGCCTTTGAATAATTACACCCATGTTCTGGTATAGTTCTAAAAGTTCTAACACTGTTGCTTCATCTATAATGATGGATTTATCTTTAACAGACATCATTTTGCCGTTTACACTTACATTGTTGACTATCACATCTACGTTTGCCAGTGTATAATCTCTGTCACTCTTTGTATAATCACATTCTTGTAAAATCTGCGACGCCCAGATTATGTCTTGGTATTGTTCGGGTGTTAGCATCCAGTCTTCGAAGCATCCTCTTTTCATTAATTCGGAAGCGGACATTATCACATCGTCAAGGATCGGTGCTAGTTTGTTTCTGGCTCCTTGTAGACGTTCTATGAGGTGTTCGCGTGACTGTTGTTCTTTTATGTCTTCGTAATCTGACCAGTGCATGTAGTGATCCATCATGAGTGAAGCGAACGATTATTTTTTCATGCGGAGAAGAAATTACGAAAATTTACGACATTTTACTAAAAATTTTGACACTATGTACACTTTAGAACCATATGATTGCTCGACTGATGACAGTCTACATTGTAGTCATTCACAGTGCTTAGCAATTAAAATTTCAGTGTGTAATAATAAGGACTGAGAATTGGTACCGCCAACAGGTAAGTGGATAAAGACACAAACGTGTAATGTACGAAATACAAAACATTGTTTGCTTTTTGGTTTTTACTTTGCCTCCTTACAAAGGAGTAAAATATCTAATGACTCTTAAATTAGGGTGAAAATCAGCTTCATATCGATGTAAAGAAGCAATCGATGATGGCGATAGATAAACGTCACAGAAAATGTATCTGCTAAAACGTGTAGTTTTACCACACCTCAAGGAAGTAATATTAATTATTGATAATAGTTTGGTTACCTATATGAGAGCTTAATGCAAACAATACCAAGTAAAAATGCGAATTGTGGACCCTAGAAAAGTCATAAAGTTTACCTGTCACTTTCATCGATTTAGAAATAGATATTTTGAACCTTGTAATCATAGAAAACATCTATCTAATATGTACATAATTCATCACTATCAGAAGATGATTCATTTAAAGTCAGTTTACGTAAAGAAATTTCTGTATCAGTAAATATTTAATACACAACATGCGCATGTGATTGAAGTTTAACATCCTTTATTGATTCGTTCTTGAGCTGCATCTGAGCCCGGGATGCATCAATGCACACTCATGGGCGTCGATACCGAATGATAACTAACACAATATTGAAGTCTTTTAAAAATTAAAACTGAATACATTTTCAAAAAGGTTATACCTAGAAATTCTTTTATAACCAACTTTTAAAAATAACTGTGTAAAACACCCTACTCTAACTTTGTTCCAATGTCGTTAAATCTTACTTACTGTACTTACGTGGGGATACTGTTTGAGATCTACGAATCAGCATCTACACTCGCCACTTTTAAATATGTTTCGTTATTATCACAGCGTTCAAAACAAAGTCGATATTTTTTAATCTTATATTATTTTTCAGAATAGAATCAAACCTTTACTTGATACGAACTTCTTTTAAGTGAATTTATCTTTAGTTTGTAAGATTGTATTCTTTTTAATACCCTACAAAAACATTTATGTTTGTTGGGTTATAATAAAATATTATTATTATTATTATTATTATCTTCTATTACCCCTTACAAGAATTTAGGCTTAACCTTAGCGTGAAATATTTGACACGAACCAGTTGGACCCTGAACCTTAATTTGTAGATACAATAACTACTTTTCTAACTAGTTAGAAACTGATCAAGTAACGTTAGCTCAGGTCAGGTCAGGTCAGGTCAGGACAGGTATTGAAGAATTTTCTGCTGAATCAGAAGAAATTCACAAGAAATAGATTTAGGTGCAGACATTTCAAACAATTTGTACAGAATCAGACACCAAATTCTGTTTACAATTAGTTGTATCATTCGAAGAAACTGTATTTTAAAACAACATAATTCATCTGGAAACATTTTTAGCGTTTTGTTTGTAAGCTATTCTTGGCAAATTTTACATAGTTGACAAGTCCATTAGTCATTAAATGTACAGGCTGATTCACGAGAAATCATGGGCCGAGAGAATTAGGGATTCAACTCAGAATACATTTTCAAAGAACTCTTAGATTTATCAATCGTACTTGGTCATAATTTTGACAAAAACATGTACTTTTGAAGCTTACAACAAAAATTTATTTAATTAATGTAACAACTGTTCGAAATGTTGCACACAATTTCTTACATACTGGTAAGATCTTTTTGAAAACAGCCAAGGAATTTTTAATTGTGTATGTTTACATAATTATTGTATGTATGTTTAAGCATTTATTGTGTAAATTTGTAATTGTATTTCTCATATACAAATGTAAGTGCTTGCAATCGGGGTGTCAATAAATTCATTGATTCATTTATTCATTCAAATGCCCAATCCTATTCCAAACATGATATTTTCTCCCACATTAAAACATCTTCCAAGGTTCTGTTAGAAAGGGTATCATAGAAGGCACCCTTCTATGAGAATGCGCAGGAGTACCTTCTTCTTGGAACCACAACAAAGATAACATAATCAGGGGCGAATAGGACCTGTTGAACCAGCGCGGGAAAAATTTGAACCGACTCTTGAAAAGATGAAATTTTACTTCAATTAAAAGTATATCAAATTTGGACTCGGGCACCAGCGGCTCTGGTGTACCACGAGTACTGGTATCTCTGCAAAATTCCCGATTTCCATATGGTCTCATCCACCCCTGCCTCTGATGTCCTGTCTTTGAAGTAATTTGGAAGAATCTCGGGTATCTCTCTGTGCACTATTGTTTTTGAAGCAATTTGAAAGAATCTCGGAGACCACTTGTGTCTTGTTTTTGACGTAATCTAAAAGGATCTCGAGGACACCTTGTGTTATATTTTTGAAGTCGTTTGAGCAAATCTTGGGATCCCCTTGAGTTTTTGTTTCTGTAGTAGTTTTAAAGAATCTAGGGGACGCTCTGTATCTGGTTTTTGAAGTAGTTTGAAAGAATCTCGCGAACCTTTGTGTTTTGTTTTTGAAATCGTTTGAAAGAACTTTGGAGTTCCCTTATCAGGGACCTGCTGAACCAGTGCAGGAAAAAATTAGACCGGCGCGTAAAAGGGCGAAATTTTTGTTCATTAAAAGTATATAAAATTACCGGTTTTCCATCCGCCCTGTACATAATATACTGAGTGACAAAAGTAAAAGAACACCAAGAAGAAATCGTGATTTTCTTTTTTTTCAGTGTGATCGGTCCAGGGATTTTAAGGGAAACAACTTTTTTTCTTGTGCGTTGGAGAAGTACAATTTCATTCCCTGACATGTCAATACATTGACCTAAAGATCTTATCAACACCATTCTGGAGTATTTCATCCTATGCCAGCTATACTTGGTACTGAAATCCTTCCAAAGAGCCTGAACGGCGGGGTAAATTGGGTAGCTTAATGCCTATCACATCTCAAACATTTTCGCTTAGGGATATGTCAGAAGATTTTGGATGGCAAGGGTCAAGATTGACTTCAACTTCTTCAACACGGTCTAGAGTGACCCTACTAATGCGTGGTTGGGCATTGTCTCGTTGAAAAACAACGTTTTGCAGGACATGAAGATATGGAAAAAGAAGGGCCTCTACATCATCCACGATATATTGGCGTGGATCTATAGTTCCTCTGAGGAATATCAGGGTGATCCACACCCGACACCATATTCCATACCATTCAAGTTCTAATTAAAACTACTGGACAGATACCATTCAAATTCTAATCAATTCTTATTTTTAACAACCCTTAGCCTACATACAAAATTTCATTACATAATTATCATTCCTTCATGGTGTTCTTTTACTTTTGTCACTCAGTATATGCAATGCTAATGATAATGGAGGAGAAGAGAATGATTCGAAGAATCGTAGAATATAAACCTGAAGGAGTGAGAAGTAAAGGAAGAACAAAACAAAGATTGATGGACCCAGTAGACAATAATTTAAAAGAATTAGATATCAGAGGATGTAAACGTCTGGCTCTAAATAGAGAGAACTGGATACTAATTATAACGGAAGCGGAAGCACTAAATTAGTTTGAATAAAATTTAAACAAGAATTCCCGTTCAAATTGTCTCTAAAAAATTGGGGCCAATAATTTAGTTCCTGAGGATTCCACATTAAACATTTGTGGAATACAATTTTGACAATAATAACAGTTATGCTTATAAATTCCAGCTTTTTGGAAAATATCGCTTCATCCGAAAATAGAGCCAAACTGTAAAAGTGATGATTACAATTCAAAAATCTTTCATAATGATCTGTTGGTTTCATTTCTTGAGCTAATATTAAATGATAATTACTTAATATCTGCTGTTCTGGTATTTGTTCTTTGGCTTTGGAGGAGGATTACTGTTTAGTATTTTCAAAACCGCTATATCTACCACCCCTGTGGTTGTTCTTTCTCGACGTTTTTTCTGGATATTTTCCGCCATAAATTAAAATCGTCATAATTTGTATTTACATATTTTAGTCTCTGATGTTGCTTTTAGAGCTGAAAATTGTCATTTATAAACTCCGTTTTATCGTATTTAAGGGTTGTAGAAGAAAAGTGGAGGATTTAAGTTGGTTACTACAAAAATTTACCATTTTAGACATGTTTCAAGTCTCTTGTTGTCGAAATAAGTCTGCACATGTTAAGAAAAAAACGGCAAAATGTAGCCCCACCCACCCGCTCTATCTTAGTTGTGACGAGAAATTAAAACATATTTTTTAGTATCGTGTATATTAAGAAAACATAAATCCAAAGATTAGGCCCCACCCATACCCGCCCCGACCTCAATTCTCAGTTGTGATGAAGTTTTTATTCGTTGGCCGACCTAGGGGCGGAGCCTAATTGCAAAATCCATATTTCCTTACACAAACTTACCATTTTAAACGTGTTTTAAGTTTCTAAGGATAAAAAAGTTACAATTGAGATGGGATGGGTGGGCGGAGTTTATATTTTTTCTTAATTTACATGGTATTCTTCAAAATAAAATATGTTGTAAAAGAGTTACCAAACCTTAAACCAAGAATCAAAGTTGTTGGTATTACAGGAGAAGAACTGCTTAAGGATAACATGTTTGCCAACTATATAGTAACTCAAAATCAATCTTTGTTTGCGGGTACTTCTGCGTGTGATGTCATAAATTATGCACCTTTGAAGTTGAAGAAGAATAGTAACGGGAAAACTAAGCGTTACATGGCAATAATTTAAATTGATAACGTAGCTTACAACAATATTTTAAATAATGGATTTTTGATGATTGGACTTGATTACTGCACTGTATATGATGCGGTCGAATTAAGAAGATGCTTTAATTGTTGTGGTTTTCATCATTATTCTAAGCAGTGCTCACAAAGATTACCCACATGTCCCAGATGTGCCGGATCACATATTGTCAAAAATTGTGAATGTGAAATTCTGAAATGCATTAATTGTGTGTTATCAAATTCTAAAAACAATGAAAAGTTTTCCACTGATCATGCTGCTTGGGATCTGGGTAGATGTGAGACGT